TGTGGGTATGCTGCATGAAGTTAGCAGACCCCTTTTTTCAACGTTTTGAGCTGTTACACTTTGAGCACTAACGTTTATATTGGCGGCACTAACGAGCACTAATACTTATCGGTCAATTAACGTAGAAAATCAAACGGATTTCGTTCCTTGGTCTACTGGCGTAAAGTTGACAGGTGCCAATAAGTCAAGTTTAATTTTGAGGTGGTTTGGTACCTATTTGACGCGGATCCCTTGCAGCACTAACGTTCGCATGTAAAGCACTAACGAGCACTAACAAACCGCTTCAAATTCGCATTAGGACAGAGCCAATTTGACATGAAGTTAGCATACCCCTTTTTACAACGTTTTGAGCTGTTACACTTTGAGCACTAACGTTTATATTGGCGGCACTAACAAGCACTAACGGTGCTAGTTTAACTAGTGTAAAGATTGAATCGATTTTCTCAAATGGGTCTGCTGGCATGAAGTTAGCAGGCCCACAAATATTTTTTAAAAATAGTAAGTTTCCTTTTGTGCACTAACGATTTCTTCAGTGGCACTAACGTGCACTAACGGAGCACTAACGATATGAGTAAGCAGAACCACGGTCTGCTGTAGTAGGCCTGCCAAGTTCATGGACATTGAGTGCTCAGGCAATAATACTGGACTTCTCTACCTTGATATATAATGTACTTACTATTTATTATACGATCAAAAATGGTAAATGTGTAATATTCATCATTTTGTATTTCTCTTGGTTGTTTAAAATTAATTCATAGCCAGACCATCCAAATTTTCTTTGTGGATATATTTGTATTTTTGATTTTTGTGGTTTGTTTTGAAAGGAAAATCTATATGCGGTTATTTTCTTAAAGCGAAATTCAAAAATGTAAATCAACTAACGAGAATATACCCAGTAGGTATGCAACTTTCAAGTACCTATTTATCAAAACTGGCCATTAGAAACCAAAGAGAAGCTTTTGTTGTACCTATTACCTAATGAATTGCAAATAAAGTTCTCAATGCTCTTCGCAAATGACGAAATCTGGATTTATACGATTTATATGCTAACCTGTACCAAAGGTGGACAGAGGTCACTAGGGCGCAGAATGTTCGTGACCGTTGCAACTGTTAATTCTGGACACGAAATGGTAACCTTTTGAAGTAATCGGACTGTTAAACCGAAATTAAGCTATTAATTTTTTAACTACTACGAAAATTGTAGGTAGTGAGTATCGCATTACTTACGTATTCCTAACCATCGCTTTCCTTGAGAAACTTGTCGAATCTGATTGACTGTAAACGCGAACATTACCAATGCATCGAAATACAATCTGATTAATGATTATGTAGGGGATTTTGCAGATACTACGTTAAATTAATTTCATTTGCTTTTATAATTTATTGCAAAATGTTTGGTGAGGATCTTGCGTTGTAAAATCGTATGTGCGAAAACAGCGAGAAAAACAAAAAGTTTTAAATATAATTTAGAAAATTTTTGAATAATAAACGTTGTTGTTATACAGTAAGTCTCTGTGTTAAACAAATATTGTTTCAACATGCAATCTAGGAGGTCTTGAAATTACACAAACAGAGAGAGAGAGAGAGATCAAGAACAAAACTAGATTTGCCGTCAAGTCCAGAGAAAGAGGGGTTTGCGAGTTTAAAAGAAAAAGTGATTTCCTCGGATAGCTAGTTTTTTTAACATTTGGGGCCGGAAGATTTAGTTCCACCGGGTTTATCACAAGAATAGCAATGCCGATTTTGAGGTTTAGGGCATTGTGGAGATTTACGGCCAAGTTGATTACAATTATAACCCTTAACGGTCTTCTGAGAGATAGTGGATAAAGAATTTGTAGTTTTAGACTGAGTTGGGGTCAAATTAGTTATAGGTAGAAGTAACGATTTGTTGGTGAAGTGTCACTGTTTGAAAAAGCCATGTACCTACGCTAAACTGGGTTCTAATAATTTAACTGTCTTTTTTGAAGGTGGAGGTTTAAAAGTGTCGATAAGTAGGTATATGTTTTGTTCAATCTTCTTCCCTGGATCCAAAAGATTAGCTAGTTCGGATCCAAGTTCCTTCTAAGGTGATATAGTAGTTTAAACGGTTAAATGAATCAGGAAACTATGAAATCAGCGATAGAAAACCAGGGCAATTAGATATCAGGGATATGTTATTATATATGCAGTTTGAGCACACGGAACAAAATCAGGGCTTCTCTTCTCCAATTAGTGAACAAATCAAAAATAAATTATTAAACCGGATAGGCGCCACTTAAATTCTTATAGATTCTTGATAAAGCTAAAAGGGCAAAGAAATTAAACGGGTTGAGCATATGTAACTGTGACCAAAGAATAACTGAAATCAATGGCAATTTACGTCAAAAATATATAATAGGTATATGCAATGGTTTCCAAACGGTACAAATTGCAATTGAAATATGAATCTTTAAAATTTTAATTCAGAAGTACTTTACAAAAAGGGATCAAATCGTAGTCAGAAAATAATTATCAAAATATATATACTTCCGCAGGATTAACGGAGTTTAAATGACTTTCACAAAAAATTTAGTAATATTAAATCGGTTGCATCAATAACCAAGATGCATACAAAGGTTATCCCACGAAGGGTCGACGAAATTAAAATATTACCTTTGAACTTTGTTGATGAAGAACTCCATGTTATGTTTGAGTAATTAGATATAGAGATAGAGAAAAATTAAGAATTGAGACTCAAATAGAAACCACAATAAAAACTTTTTGAGTCTCAATTGGTAATTTTTCTCTATGTCTATTACCTTTGAACTTCTTAGCCGCAGCCGTTTCCAAGCTCCGAAAGGGTGTTATCCGCCAAATCGGCAATCAGATAAAAATCAAAAGCAAAAAGAGAGAATATGACTAGCACGGTATATAAATTGCGAAAATAATCGTTTGTCAGGATTAGCGACTCCAATATTCAAATTGAAATTAAAATTTAATGGAAAGCAATAATTCAATTTACGTTATATAGCAAAAGCAAAATTTTGACTCGCCATGAGCCGTCGGTATAAGCAGCAATTCACAAAAGTAATCGTTAACGTTAATTCAAGAAAACTACTACGACGTGCAAATAAGTAATTCACAATAGCAATATACTACCAAAGGTAATCGATAGGTTATATTTGCAGTTATAAATCAGGAACAGTAATTCAAGTCTTCAGATGTAATTAATTTGTATGTAGGTCAAGAGTAATGTATCACGTAATGTGTTATAACTATACATTCAGAAGGGCGGTTCCATGTAAAAATGCGATATAATCCAAATTCTGTGTTAATTATCAACGACGTCGATGTAGGCCGAAATATTCAGGTAAATCAATAAATAATAATAATAAATATAATAAATAACAGGAAGAAAAAAGAATGAACCAGAAGTTTTTTTTTTTTTTTTGGCTTGGACTATTTGTCATTCGGCCAGTCGCGTGGTGGTTGTTTATTTATGATTTTTTTATAGCCAGAAGTTAAAATCATAAAACCATTATTCAAAGTCAAGTTTATTACGTGATGTTGGTACCATAAATGGCCTTAGCACTCAGAATCTAAATATATGCGCAAAAATGCGTCAATAAAGCTGTCAAGAAACGACACAAAAGGAAACTTCAAACCAGAGACTTGCAAGTCTCTGCTTCAAACAAAGTATCACACGACCAATAAGCCCTTTAAGAAAAGGCACGACACAAAGTCTAAGAAAAACTTTGTGTCGTGCCTTTTCTTAAGGGTCTTATTGGTCGTGTCGTGTCGTGTATTATGTTCTTTTTACAAGTACTCTCTAAAGTATTAACCAACGGGCACGTCAAAACTTAAGAAAATTCAGAAAGGGGAAAAATACTGAAAACTACATTCGGATGACTTCTAGTGGGAAAAGAAACAACTAAGGTACATGAAACGTATGACACTCAATTATCTACATATAAACGGATTTACAAAGGAAATGTATAAGTGGTATACTTCTAGTATCCTACTAACTGGATATTTACAAAGATGGGCTGATATAGTAGCAAGTACATACATCAGAAAGCGCATACCAAAAAACCTAACAAAATCGCTAGTTTCCTCTCTCCATCAGTTATGGTTGCTGATAAAAAAAAATTAAGGACGAGTATTTTGGGGATGTAGATCCAAGGAAACATTAAGAGCTAACCCTACGTGATTACATGATGAGTATGACAAGGTCCTATCTCCTATACACTTTCTGAACCTCTGCTACATAATGTTTTTTTAGGTTCGTAGGATGCCTTGATGACTTCCGCTGGTTAACCGACACCCGGATATGATGAACACAAGGTAGGTAGGGCGTAGGGATAAGATTGCAGCCTTTTCAATAAGGATATAGGCCCGTTTCACAAAGGACTAATGATTAGTACTGACGATGCGTCCTATCTATTAAATTGTAGGTATCGTTCGTGTACCATCCGTCGACGATGAAATAGCGTTGGCATCGGTCCTGCCCATGGCGAGTGCGGATCATCGGTCATTTAAAAAACTAAGGTTTTCACATGCTCGCATATCATCAGTTGAAATCACCAATACAGTTGAAATTTAAGGTTCAATTGATTTTGTTCGATTTTGACGGGAAGGGAAGGAAAAAAGATTCCCACGAACGAATTTGGGTAGCGACTCTAGGGGCGAGTACGGCGGTCTCTGACATGGTTGAAACCAAAGTGAATGCTACGAAAACTTGAATCGTTATAAAGTAATAGCCCATAGTAACACAATTTTTTTGACGTCATTCCCTATGTGAGAACCATATTCGTTTAGGTATCGCCAAAAGGGCATCAGGAATCGTTTGTTTTTTCCAATCTCTTGTTTTCATAACAATCCAACCTTGCAAATTTAATTGTTTATAGTAAAATGATTGTTGAGAGTATCAGATAAGATACGCCCATGAGATTTTTGTTAAGGCATTTTATTAATCTTGCATGAGGGATTACCCAATTCTTTATAAACACTCATTGCAATGAATCACTTGCAGTATTTCCAACAATTACTTCATTCTTAGATAAGCAGTGCAAGGAGTTCCCTTTTTTTGCCGCACTGCTATAAAACTGACAAAATGATGTAACTGAAACTTTGTTTGCCGTTCATAAACGACATGAAAGCGTCTTTGGGTTTTCTGCTCGCGTTTATACTCGGGGTAAGTAAAATTCACGATTGGTTATAGAAATCCATCGGACTTTTAGGTGCAATGTGGCAGATCCTTCGTCCCCACTACCGGCCCTGAAGCTGACTGTCTCAAGGAACAAAATCTGAAATTATCGGATGTTGAGCCCGAAATTCATATAGTTTCAGATGTCAACAATGAGGTAGTCGGTCGGTTTTTTGTGTGCGTTTGGAAGAAGAGGGAGATTTTTAAGACGAATGGCGAAATCAGCGGTGAGGGTATATACCGACGTTTTGCTGAAATTTTCAAGAACGTTCATTTGTCTGAAAGCATCCAACTGGAGATGAAAGATGCGTTTAATGAGTGCACAAAACTGAGGGATAACACGGATTGGATATTGGCGAATAAAGTTAAAAACTGTATATTTCATGCGGTTCAGAGTAGACCACACTTGCCTCGCCCTCAACCAGAAAATTAAGCTCTCTGATGAGTTACATGAACAAATAAATACGCAGTAATCTTTAGAGTATTTGCTTATTCCATCCATTGGTACTCGGTTTTGGCGACTTTCGAAAGATGTGCTTGCTAAACAACTTATTTTGGGTGCTTTGTTAGAAACCGGTCCCACGCAGCATCAATTTCGCCATTTTCATGCGAGGTTTGAACGATGTTTTTAAAGCATTAAAGTAATGCAGAAACATTATTATTTCCGAATTACATAAGAGTTAGACATTTTCATCTTGTAATCAGAAGCACCTTTTTCTGGTATTAACCAGATCAGGGTCAACATCTTATCAAATTATATTTTAAAGCATTTCTTGTTTTCAGGCAAAAGGAAAAGAGAAAAAGTGGTTTAGAAATAGTTCTATCTAACGATGTTTGTGCAAACTGCTTTGCTATACCAGCTGATCAGTGATAAAATAATCGGGTCTGTTACGAAAATTGTTCGGAAACAGCATCTTTAGAAACTTTATTGGGAAATTACGTCCAGTATCTACATAAATGGATTTTGGATTCCGTGATAAATTAAAAGTTGTGTCTTATTAGGGTCATTGGTTATGACGTTTGTTTGCGATATAGCAGACATTTAGGATTGCTTTATACCAAAAAAATACGAACATTCGATATTTAATAATCTTTTTTTCCAAAAACTAACGTGTGGGTATCGTGGTTCTTTCAAATATGTTTGTCACCTTATCTTACAAACAACAAAAATTGTCCTTCTCTATTCACAACGGTGATAAATTCTTCCAAAAACGGATTGGTATTTCTTGCATCGTTGGTGCTATTGTAATAGCGGATCTGTAGCCATGTGGGCTTTTGTATACTTTCAACTTTTGAGACGTTTATGACAGTCGCAACATTGAAAAAAATGAAACGTTTAATTTACTTCATTAATGTCTGATCACTATCTTGATATGTTACATTCTTTTTGATTAGTAGGTCAATTATGTACTTAATGATCTAAAATGCGATTTTAAAAATCATTAATAATCTAATCACACTTGATTACATTAAAAAGATGATTCCTCTTTAATTAAAAGTAGCGGATTAATGAAATGCAATTCGTTCTTACATGCATGTTTCAAAAATTTCTGCTTGACATTTAATTATTTAGTAGTAAAGTTAATTAGTTTAGGTATATATCAGTGCCGTATTAGATGTATTAACGGTATATTCGTGGGAAACCATTTTCGTATCAACTAACTTGCACGATTGTAATCAATTACGTTTAATTAAAATTTTTAACAATATTTATTATTATATTTTGTAGCACCTATCTGTAATGAAGCCAAAGGCTTTGTTCTACCGTACCATTTGAAGGCCTACTTCCGGAAATTAAATGGGTAATATAAATCAGGGATAAATATTACTATCGTAGATATCTCGAAATGTACCTACGTGGATTATTAATCCGTAAATGTTGTTACAGCTCCAACAAAATAATTATGGTGTACAGAAGCACGACATTCGTGAGTGAGTTCAATAATTAAATACAACATAATTATTGTCTACCGTGAGCTTTGCGAAATTATTATTTCGCTCTTGCATTATTCCTTCGCATTATTGTCTTCCGTTAGATGAGTAAACAGTTCGATTCAGAAATTAATGGCTTAGACTCTCCCTTTAATTTTAAATCAAAATTCCACTGATCAAAGCACCATCACGTTTTCTTAAAATGAGTTTACATAGTACTGTCATAACTTCTACCGAGCAGATTTTAAAGGAAAGGCGATCGTGATTCGTTTATAGTCAGAAGAAAAAGAGTACGGTGAAGATGCAACAATTGGTGTATCATAGGAATTACTAATATTTTTCAGGAATATAAGTGCAACGGCTTGCCAAGATTCCTCTACTGTCTCCGTGTATTATTATTTATTATTTTTTTTTAGTTAAAACACTAGTGATATTTGTTCATTTTAAACTCCTTATGCAACTAGGCTGTGAAACACTAAAAATTCTCACAAGGAAGTAGACTCGTCTTCCTCAGTTTGAGCTACAATTCCGATTGAGGTATAAGTGTCCGTCACGTCACGATAATTTAAACTAAAGGAGTCAAGGACCTATTAGCTTATTTTGTAAAAATCCCAACAGTCAGTCTGGTTAGGTACTTTGTTAGGCAGATGAAACCGTTGCACCTCAGTTTAAACAGTTTTTCATGATGGTGACAGCACTATTTCTAATGAATGGGCTTCACAAAAAAGTGGCTTTGATGAAAGTTTATCCAAAATTTGGCAAAACATTTTATTGTAGGACGCCATTGAAGATAAATTAATGTAGGAAACTCGCGCTTGTCGAGCCTGTACTTTTGAGCGCATTTGGGCCAAGATATTCCTTTTCTGTGCAGCGTTGCTGCGTGTGCCCGAAGGCGTTACACTTGAAACACCTCATAATATGAACGTGTTCTTCCAGCTGGACAATTTTATTCAAGCTATCGCCTTGCTTACGGTCCGCCAATTTGTCGGTCGGCGTAAAATTAACTTTGTTATTTATCTCTCTCGTTCTCCAAGCACTTACTTGCAATAGTAACACCTTTGGATCTTGCACCGCCATACTTTTAAGTGTCAGCCGAGTACCTTCAACCTCGTCCTCCCTATCCCTCCTGGTTTTTTTTGATGCTGTTAGCACTTGTATTTTGTTCTCGACCAGCTAAAATCGAATTTGCATTTGTTGGCCCTTTTACCTGCGACCCTTGTATATTTGGTGTCAGTACGGTGAGCGACGAGGTGCTGGTGCTCCGACTGGTTGTTGATTTTGACGGGGGCTTTAGAGAGCTGGACTTATGTTGCTTCTCCTCTGTTTTGTATGGTGTTCGTCCTGTCTCGACGCTTCTATTGAATAGGTACTGCTTCGTCACTGTCTCCCATTATCGAGGGCTAACACTGATAAATAAATCATCGGGCTGGGGAGTATAGTTTGGTTATGTGGACGGAGCGGGCCCTCCTCGGCTGAGGGACCGAGGACGCTGGCATGCTAACTCCACCCTAAGCGCCTATCGTGGTTGCTTAGTATGTCCAAGGATCGACCGAAGCCGGCTTATACCTTAAGTCCTTCCTCAAGGGACGAGGATGCCCAAAGACAGTTTCCAGAAGTCACCACGGGGAGGTGATTTTTATGCACAATTTACCTTACAAATAGTCATAACAGACCCATGAAACCTTGAAATTGGAACAAATCAACTTTAAACGAGAAAGTGATGAATCTGTACCTCGTAAATAGAATGATCTCGTAGCTAAGGCTGTTGGTGACACAATAATAAGGTCGGAACGGCCTCATTACACTGATACGGAGGAAATAAATCCTGACGCTGCAGATCGGAACCTTTCGGCGATAAAAAATCCTCCACCGAAATCAAAAGCTCTGTAGTTTTTAGGTTGAATGAGTTGTCAGTTGTGGCGCAACTGATTATAGAATTTCCCAGCTTAAGAGATAAGGTGGTGTGTCGTAAATATAAATAAAACTGATAAATAAACATAATTGTAACATTTATTCAATTATGTGTTACACGGGCGATCAAAAACGGCGGGAATAACCTGTCAAGTGCGGATGGAATTCCTTGAGTGATAATGGTAGGTGTAAGATCTTCATGGGGTTTTTACATTATTAAATAAGTTAATTACTAGCGTAATTCATTTTTAGTTGCATCAAATCAGAAGTGGGATCACAATCCACGGACGGTGTCAGGTGTGGTGACGTTTTGGCATTTGGCGAAGCCGGTGGCTCAACGAAATTAGAAATTGACGCATCTCGGCGAGATGCGAGTTGGGGTCACGACTTATACTCCAGACCATTATCCACCTTAGGTACCCTAAAATACAGGCGATTACCATAAAGGATATACTTCGCCACTGATATCAGATCTACTGTATATGTTCACGGAGGGACTATTCGGTGTTACACCCGGCGTGTGGATAAAACGGAGTTTATTACCGTAGATTGACAGTATGAATATTTGCGTGGTCCTCTCGGATTGACGAATGGTCCTTGTGTTTTCCAGCGTGTTAGCGTTAGTGACGAGGCTGGACAAATGCCCTTTTCTGATGGACAAGGAGGAGTATTTGAGTAATAAAAATCAGTGCTGAAGGTGTTCGTCCTGGGCGGAGAAAGGTAGAGGCGGTGATTTTTTCCCTACATCTGCCAATGTGCATGGCGTAATAGTTTGTGTTGTTGGCGTCTTATTTTAGGCGGGCAAAAACCGCGACTGATCTCACCAGAAAGGGCGTGACGTGAAGCTGGGGCGATCAGCAGCAAGAGGGTTTCAGCGACTCAGAGGACAGAGAAGCCGTAATGACTAGGCCAATGTTGGATCTGTATGACCGCAAGGCGTAAACGGAGTTGCACACTGATGCTGCTAAGTGGAGGAGCATTGGCGTAATGTTCATACAGAGGCACCTTTAAAAAGCACTCTGTAATTGGGCGCAAGATTGTTGAGGACCGAGAACAAGAGAAGGATAATAAATAAAAAAATAAGTACATAAATAAAAAAAAATCACGATGATATTAGTCATCCTTGCATTTTAAAAATGTAACAACGAAGTATGGGTGACCGTGATTGAATTGTGCATATACGAAGGGTAGTTCTAGGCAGGGCCGTCGCGTGGGTGGGGCGACCGAGGCGGTCGCCTTGGGCGCGGTGGCCCGGGGGCGCCGCCGTGGGTAAAAAAATGCGTTTGTAGTCTAATATAAGCACTTACACAAATGTATACAATGGATGCTAAGTGCGCTCGCGCCCCCTCCCCTGCCCTACTCAACTCAATCATTCTTTACAGTGTGCGTAGGACACGGTTTACATTTACACTTGTCGCTTACGGTAGTTTTATAGTGAGTGAAATAAATCTTGTACATCAAATCTTAGTATATGTACCTATATAAAATATCAATTATGTTGTGGAGGGTGGGGTGGGTGGTCTATGATGCTGTTATGTTACCCCTTATTATAATAGCTGCCGTTTTTTCCAGTCCGGAACACGGCGGAGGGTCCATACGTGGGGGAAAATGGCGTGGCTCTAAAGAGCTAGGGCATCC